ATGAACAGGCCAAATAAATAAATTCAAACAGGAGATTTCTATCTAGTTCATGGTGGAGACTGAGGGCCCTAAACAAAGACTAGTATCAAGTGAGGTTTAGGACACTTGAGATGTTTACAAAGTAACGTGCAGGCTTGGGACCGACAGGGATGTTTCTGCTGCTAATCTTTGAATTTTGTATCGGCCCCAAACCATAGGCTTGGAAGTTCTAAACTCCGGAATATCTTGAGTCTGCAGAGACTGTTCCTTTGAAAGACAAAAAGGAATTATTCAACATGTAGCGTATCTGAGAGAAAGAGTCAGAATGCTTATCTACCGTTACAAAGCCAGCAGGTAGGTTGGCGTTCCCTTCTTGCATGATCTTGCATGATCTCATACTGCAGCAATCAATCATGTCTGAAAAGGATGGCTGGAAATATTCAAATCACAGCAAAGAAACACAAGCTATTGTGAAGCTACTGGGCAGACATTAACTTGCCTACAGTGAAGAACAGACGATGTGGAAAAAAATCGCTTTTAGCAGGCTAAAGATTTAAAGGCATATGCAGGGACTGGTCAAATGAATTTATTACTTTCATTTTTAATTACATCACATCAATCCAGGGTACAATGACAAGAAATGTGAAGAACAATTCTAGAATGTGGTTTGTGGTGGTGGTTTTTATGTCAGCAGAGCGTACACGTTTAAAAAAATATATAAAACCTTTCAGCAAACGACATCAGCAGACATGCCAGAAAGCAAACCAAAGGTGGCCAGATTTCTCGGCTGTGTATTAGAGCTTAGATTCTGAACACTCAATTGGTAGAAGGCTAGTTTATCCTGGGAACCGCAATCCATTGTGAATCTCCGCAAAGATTCAGCCTCCACGGACCTCTTCCCAACCCGCGCCAGCAAAGTACAAAGTTTTGCTGAATGTGTTTGCTGGGCCTCCCCTACTACCCTAGCCAGCTCAGTCTCGCCTAGCCCACAGGAACTAGCTTCAGTGTGCTCTTGATGGAAATTGGGGGACTGGGGCCCCACGGTCATGAGTCAGACCTCGACCAAAGTGGCAGAAGCTCTGTGAATCTACCTTGTACGTTTTTCTTATCTGCAATAGGGGAGGTCGTCTCCCAGTGATGGTCCCTTTCCTGTTCTGTAGTCCCAGCTGCCAGCCACGACTGTGTGATAGTGCCCTCTGTGTGCCCTGCCCTGCGTAAGTAGCCTTGCGACTGAGAAGCCGTGGATACCATGATCGCCTCATGTTGATGGTCTCCCTCTCCCAGGTGATTTGGTTTTGTCCTGCGAATGACTTAATAAATGGGTCTTTGTAAATGACATGTGAATATAGGGGTCTCTCTCCCCACTATAGCATCCCTAATCACACTTTGACTTTTCATTTGGGCATTCACAGACTTCGAATTTATGCACATGCAAACATTCCGCTTGCTTATTTGGGAAGAGCCTTTATTAGGATGCAAGAACTCTGGATTACAAAGCTGTGAATGGCTTATAGAGCGCCGCTTACGAAAATAGTCTTTGTTCCGAGAAGCGAAAGCAATCGCATCCGTGGAGGGTTGAAAGCACTCCCCTTCCCTATCCTGGCAGGCAGGGGCCCACCGTTAGGCTTCGCCATTGGCGGCATTGGCGGTGTTTGCACCAGGGTCAGCCGGTGTGGGTGTGTCGTGTCCTCGGTGGGAGGGGATCGCAGGGAGCACTCGGCTTGTGCGCAGAGGTTCTCCAGAGAGGACTGGGAAGAAAAGAGCGGAGAGACTTTCAAAATTCGCTTAGCTTACAGAATG